AGGATGCTTTCCCACCAGTGTGTACAGTTATTGTGGCTGTGTTAGTTCTTTCCTCTTTTCCATCTTATCTTTTTCCTGAAAAATTGTCTTGAAATCCCTAAAGCATTGATACATTTGTGAAGCTTTAGAAACAATGGAATACAGTCTTGTATACTAGCTTTTAAAGGTAACAGAGGAAAAGAAAGTTTTAATAAAACATTTTGTTTTACAGACATACAGTCTCCCGATGCTGAATATGTAGATTTGCTCCTTAATCCTGAGCGCTACACGGGATACAAGGGACCAGATGCTTGGAGGATCTGGAATGTCATTTATGAAGAAAACTGCTTTAAGTATGTGTCATTTTCATTTAGAAAATTTTGGAAAATGTAATGGTTTCTCTCTGTGAACAAATAAACAAAATCCTAAAGATTTAAAATTACAAATCAAATTCACTTTGTTAAAGGCTGTATTGGGACATAGAAATGTACTTACTTATTCATTAATCCAGTTCTCCTCTGGGGAAACATGTAGACATGTTTCCACAAATATTACTTTCTTCTTTAAAAGACTTAGAATAGCATGAGACTTTTATGGGAGTATTGTAGGTACTTAAAAAAATGTTTCTTGACTGGATTATAAAATCTCATTTTATAGATGAGATAACAGAGAGCCAGAGAGATGTACTTCATTGTTCAAGATCATATAGTTAGTGGCAGAGAATAGATTAGAATATATCATTCCTAATTCTCTTTTTGGTGTCTTATACTCCCCTTTTTGTGGCTATAGTTATTTTGCCTGCTTTAAAGTTAATATCAGAGAATACTTATAATAGCTGACACTTTGGAGCACTCACTGAGTGCCAGGCATTGGGCTTACTAAGCATGTTACATACATTTTCTCCTTTAGTCCTTGCAATCACCCTGTGTTGTAGGCTGTCACTGTTTACAGTGAGAGAAAGGATTTGGAAAGCTGATTTTAAGTGATTTGTCCAGTGTCAAAGATGTAGTAAGTGGAAGATTGTACTTCATACTCTTAACCACCATAATGAAACAGTCAATTTGCTCACTGGGTGACTGACACATGCTTCAGTTTTACCCACTTGAGAGCTTCTAGGCTCTAAACAATGTGCTTATTGGTTTTTGAAAGAAATTCGTGTCTGTGTGTGTGTGTGTGTGTGTGTGTGTGTGTGTGTGTGTGTGTGATGTTGTCTTAGAGATCAAGGGGAGAATTCTGGGAAAATCTTGGGAGTTTCAGATATGGTGATAATACATTTCACTTTTTGTAAGTGAAATATAAACCTAAGAGATTAGTAAGTGTGCTTATACAAATAAAATGTCAGACTGTTTTTGTTTTTGACTTGAAGAATTGTTCCAGTTTGGGACATGGAAAGTCTTCATTATTTATTCATTTCTGCCATGTGTTTCATTTAAATTTTCTTGACCATTATTCAGAATGTTTGGTTTACTGACTGACTTGAAAGTTTTTGGTTTTTTTTTTAAAGAGTGCACTAAAATAGAGTCAAATTGAAACATTTGTTAGAGTGAGTCTTAGTTTTATAGTTCTTTTCTAACTAATTTATATCATGTTTCCCACAGTATTTCTAAAATATGAACAATGCATGAGGCACTAAATTGAGTATGTTCAATTACAGCTTACATGTTCTGTTCTCAAAATGCCTCAATTTGTGCAAATTTGTAAAATTAAAATAATGGACATTCAAACAATCCCTACACTTTACTAATGATACTAATGAATATTTATTTTGAGATTTAGAAGCGCTTTAGTGACATATACTCTCTCTTTTTTCTTATTAAAAATGCCTTTTATTGAAATTATAACAAATTTGGTGGCCACAGGGCAAATTGATGTACCTAAGATCACCTAAGTGGAAAATAATCTACCTACAGTTTTTTTCCTTTTTTATTTTAATGCTTGTGTTGGATATTTATATTTTTTGCTTGTTTGTCTTTCAATTGGGAGTGCACTTTATGCCATACACACACATATATGTGAATAATATATATACACACATCCTAGAGATTCAAGGAGAAGAGCTTGAGTGGTATTTTTTCCTTCCTTTGTTTGAAGAAGTGATTAGGAAATGACTTCCTGGCTGTTACAGTGGGAAAGATCAGAAACTGTTATCACTAAAACAAATAACTACTCTCCCTTAAAGCAATTAGAGAAAACTAAATATTTTATAAGCTCAATAAAACAATTTGATTTTGGATATAGTCATTCAGAAACTTTCTGAGATAATTTCACTTTTCCCTAAATAATTATAACATAGTAGGTAACATATTTATGTTTTATACTTTAATTCTTTTGTTCCTAGGCCACAGACAATTAAAAGACCTTTAAATCCTTTGGCTTCTAGTCAAGGTGAGTTATATGTTTGCACTTCTATGTTATTCATCAACCTGTGAACTTGGGTTAGAAGGAAAGGGAAGGCAAAATAAGGGTTGGCAAGAGCATTTGAGATCATATATCCCTGTTTCCATAGAAGTTATGCCTCATCCTTGCAGAGAATTAGTGTTTAATATAATTACTCTTCAGTAAGGATTATTTTTGTAATGAAGTTCAGAAGTTCATAGTATTAGACTATCATGGGATGAAGATTAGGTTATATATTTATTCTATTCATTTTTACAGAATGTGTGTTCAGTTCTTCCACTATTTTTACTCATTTTCAAGGTAAATGAATATGCAAAACATTTCTACCTCAAATCTTTCCCCAACCTTAAAATTATTGTATATATTGGGAGCCTCATTTCAAATTCACATATCTTTATATCGCATTAACATTTTTCATTTTCTGCTTACACTAAAGGTCCGGCTCAAATGCTTCCTTTTCCATAAAACTTTCCCTTATCTTCCTAATTGGAAGTATTCTCTCCTCCTCATACAGTGATGTTATGTCACGTTTGGTTTCTCGTACAGCCCTTTACATTGTCTAGCATTATTTTATTATTATTTATATATCTGTTGATCTACCCTAGTACTTTGCAAATATGGGCAACATGTGTTGGTTTCATCTCTTAATCTAGAGCCTGGAATATCACAGATGGAGTAGTTTGTTAGATAAATTATCTATGAATATTGCCCTCTTCATTTAATGGTCTTGTCTACAGTTGTTCCTTCAACAAATGACTACCCACCATTTAATATGTGCTAGGCGCCGTGTTGGTGCAGAAGGGATGTAAACTTGAAATTCACAATCCCTTTTCCAGTGTATAATAGGCAGTTATAATATCCCTGTTCTCTGAATATGTGCTTATTGATGAAATCTTTCAGGTGCTTTTAGCAAATGTGTAAAGTTTTCATTTTTTAAATTTATTTGAATGCTGTTGATCTCGTATGGTCCATAAATGTAACATTCCTCCTGGAAAGCAGTGAGATTGCATCATTCCCTAAATGTAGGCACACTCGTCTTTCTTAGATAAGAAATGAAAGAACATCTTTAAACAAGGCTTTGGGGTTTATACAGTCACATATGGTAACTCAGTGGAAACTATTGATTTAATATCAGATGAAATGCAAATTCATAGACAAGAGGCGATCTTCACTATGAACTCACATTATGGTCTGATAAATTGATTAGCCATCCTCACTTATCTTAAAGATAAATGGGAATGATTTAAATGTTTATCATTAGGGAACTGGTTAAATGATTGATGGCATATTCACATAGAAGAATACAGCCATTATAAATGTTGCTGAAAATTTGTATTCATTTATATCAGTAGTGATCAATAGCACACTGAGGAAAAGCGGGTATCAAAGCATTACACAAAGTATGCAAAACTTAATATAATATCTAAATATTCATACACAAAGAAAAAGGACATTTACCAAAATGTAAAGGGTATTTATTTTTGAGCAGAGGGGATTATGGATGATATTCTGTATTTCATCTCTGTGTTTTTTAAACATATTTTTGCAAGGAGCATGTGTTACTTTAATAATCAAAGAATGGTGGCATTGAATAAAATTGGGCAAAATGAAGATAATTTTTCAATAGTGAACGAGCAGCTGCATACAAACTGCTGAATTCTGCATAATTTGAATCTTACACATAGTCTCTAAAAATATTCCTGAATAGAGTAAAATTTTATGTCAGTCTGGTATTTTCAAAGCAATAATACAAATCTGTAGCAGAAACAGTATTACAGCTTTAGGATAAATAAATGTGGAAAATAACCATAAATCCTTAAGATACTTAAGAGTACTTTCAGATGACAGATTAGATTTTTCTCTCTTGTTAGCCCATATTAAATCTTGTATGAACTGAAAATACTCTATCCAGGCTCTTGGAGATGATGTCTTTTAGTCAAATCAGGCATAATTCCTATCATCAATCAGAAGTGTTTCACAGATTTTGCTTAGGTAGATGAACGGATGGATGAAAACTAGCCATTATAAAAAGGCCTTATTTTTATGAAGCTGTAGCATTTTAAAAGGGACTTCTGGAAGGAGTTTATGATAATAAACATTTTGTTTTGTTTTTCAGGGAAAAGTGAACGTAAGTAGAATTTCTTTATCCTACACATCATATATGAATTGTTTATTTGGCAATTTTTTTTTCTTTTCACATCTGTGACTCAGAAGAGCTTAATTTTCATTTCTTTATCTAAAATTCTGGAGGTGAAAGCACAGCTTAAGGGAAAATGACTGTTTGTGCCTGGGATCAGGCAGTAGAGACAGCCTGCCTCAGCCTCTAATAATTCACTTGTACGTTTTCCACTGCATATAGAAGGCAGGCATTTCCCTGGGCCTCTGTCCTTTACTGGTTGGGCTCAAGGATCTGCTGGGTCTCATATAGGAAGGTTCTAGGCTGGATCAGAGTGTTGATCTACTGGCTTCCAAGACTTATGCTGCCTCTTGGGTGTAGGTATCATTGCCAACTCTTTAATTGTAATGCTAGAAATTTTAACACATTTTCAGTTTACTTTGTCTTTTTGAGAATCTTGTTGCTTTATGAGTGTGATCGGAATGATTTTGGTTATTCTTAAGGCCATGCATTTAACAATATGAAAAGACTAAGCAGTACTTAGATTTTGTCCAGCTCAATGAAATTGCTGAATATGAAGTCTTTCCTCTTCCTCAAATTTCTCTATCTTCTGAATATTATTTTTATGAATTGCTTTTGCATTTTGTCTAAATAACAGAATACTAAAGTCTGATATTTTATTATTGTACTTATGTTATAGTAATGGTAGCCACTAAATAAAGTATGGAATCAACTGTACTATTTAGAATTGAAATTTCTTTAGCAGTTAAGATCATTTTTTCCAAAGCTACCATATATTTTGTTACTGTTAGTGGTGATCCTGTAATTTTCAGTTTGAGTAACCTTATTGTTCTACCTTGGAGAAATTGCAAATAAAATTTGGATCTTTTGTTAAAAAATCTTTAAATCACTGTTTGGCACAAATTTGCTATACTATTTTTAAACTTTTGAAAAACTTAACATTTTGGCATTTTCTTTACAATCTTGTGACTTATTTTTCTTTTAATTTCAGAAAACACCTTTTACAGTTGGCTAGAAGGTAATTGGAAACTTCTAAACAAATTTAAATGATAACATTTTTCTCCTTTTTAAAGATGTGTGAAATTAATTTTATGATCTTACAAGTTTCATATATGACATTTCTATTTCCAAATTACTTTTTTTAGGCCTCTGTGTAGAAAAAAGAGCATTCTACAGACTTATATCTGGCCTACATGCAAGCATTAATGTGCATTTGAGTGCACGATATCTTCTACAAGGTATGTCCCATTCACTTGTATTCACTTTACCACACTTATTTTCAGGTATTCTTAAAATTCTTTTTGGGATTCACCTGAATGGGAAAAATTGATCCTATTGAATATTAGGCAGAAAAAATTCATTCTTATATGGTAGTAATCAGGTTTATAAGAAAGAGACACTGGAGCAGCTATAGGGTGTAAGGGAATTGGAGAAAAAAAAGAAAAAGTGATGTTATAAAGTGTCAAGATGACTTAGTAATGGAATTTTCTTTGATATTCTCTAAGAAATGCAAATAGAAGATTTCTATTACTTTTAACTGCCTTTAGATGTATGGCTATGTTTCCTTGAATACAACATATAACTTTGTAACTAGAGCATATGGGTGGTTATGCATATTAAAAATCAATCCAATTGCAAAAAATAGGGTAGTTAGTAATCAGGAATATAGGACTATAGATACTATAAGGGAAAATTCAGCATTATCTTGGCTCTTCACCTTCTTTTAAGAAGCTGCTCAAAATTGTACACATCACTTTGGAAATGTTCTTTAGTTGTGGGAATTAAAATAGCTCCTAATAGCACAGTTTGTTATTCATTAGAAATTACTGTATCAGACTCTTTTATTTGTGTGCCAGCTTCAGGCCTGGAATTTAATGGGTAATAGCATTTTCTTCTGCACCTTATGCTTTAAGAATGTTATTGAAAAATTAGACTATGGTTGATTTTCATCAGTAACATATTTCTTCTGGAATTAAAGTATTTCTTAGGTCTTAGAAATGAAATATAGTAACTTTTTAAAAATATAGGGCTTGAAATTCATTACTAATTTCAGATAGTCATTTTTTTTAATTGTGTATTTTGGTTTCATGAATATGTTTATATTCAGAAATTTGATTTTTATTAAACCTTGTTTCTCTGTAAAACATTTATTTTCCTTTTATGGGTGGGTTCTAGAGGATAAAATAATGTAGACCTATTAAAGGCTAAATTATGTAAAACAGTTTTCATGGTTATATTATATATTTTACAATATAAAATGAATTTACTTCTGTAGGCATAACTAATCTAATCTAAGTAAAATGAAGCTTACTTAATTTTAAAATTCAGTTTTTAATATTTAATTCTTTTTTCTTCTCAGATACGTGGTTGGAAAAGAAATGGGGACACAACATTACAGAATTTCTGCAGCGGTTCGATGGAATTTTGACTAAGGGAGAAGGTCCAAGAAGGCTTAAGAACTTGTATTTTATCTATTTAATAGAATTAAGGGCTTTATCTAAAGTGGTACCATTCTTTGAACGCCCAGATTTTCAGCTCTTCACTGGAAATAAAGTTCAGGATGCAGAAAACAAAATGTTACTTCTGGAAATACTTCATGAAATCAAGTAATTACAACTTACACATTAATAGAACAGTGATATGTGGTATCCAAAATTAAATGCTTAAATATTCAATTTAAAGAAAAGAAAACTGTTTAAAAAATTAAAAGCTATATTTGCTTATAGGTCTTTTGGAATTGAGGGTTTTTTTTTAAACCTAATTACTAAAAGTCACATATTTTCAGTTTCAAGAGCCATTCTCTTCGTATATGATACCTGCATTATTTTCATATTTAGCTGAAGAGGTTGGGTTTGGAGCCAAAATTATATATTATGGGGTCAGCTTTTAGATTTGAGGGTAAGAATTTGTGTGGGGACATCAGAGTATTGATTTTACTACATTTTCTACTCTATTTTAATTATGTTATTCATCACTGACCAGCAAAGTGTTATATTAGCAGGACTTTTAATATTTTATAACATATGAAAATGAATATTTTGTGTTTTAAAATGCAGGTCATTTCCTTTGCATTTTGATGAGAATTCACTTTTTGCTGGGGATAAAAAAGAAGCAAACAAATTAAAGGTAATTATTCATACTGTAATTTAACATTTAGATACAAGCTCTTATGCAGGTGTGAATATAGGCCCATGGTTTTATACTTAACAATAAATATTGATATACATCCTTAAGTTATAAGACAAATCAAAGCCATGATCTTTCTTTTCTTCAAAAAAAGGAAGTCCAGCATCAGGTCCAACTTAAAATCCAGTTCGTGTTATATTCAAAAGAATAACTGGAAATCTGTGCGTCACGCACTGCACACTTCACAGATGACTTTCATATTAATGGTTCCATGTAACAAACAGAGACTATAAATTAAAGGAGAAGGAGCTAGAGCACGAGTGGCAGTGTTTGTCTGTCTTTGGCTGAAGAGAATTCTTAAAATGGTTTTGGTTAAATTAAAAGATCCTCTTTAGGAGGCCGCAGCACAGTGATGTTTTCTCTTTCATCTTACTCAGTGGGAATTAAAGGCAGTTAGGGACGCCAGCAGTTGTGGACAGAAGACCCCACAAAATGGCATTTGGTTTTTGCCTTGCCTCTTTTTAAAAAATTATTTACTTATTTATTTATTTTTTTATCACAGTCTACCTCCAGTATTATGTTAATTTAGGTGTACGATTTGCCTTGCCTCTTAATAAAAGAATCATCTCAGGCAAAACCATCTTCGTGTATATTTGAATCAAAATGCTACAAATATAAACTATTACTAGGAAGATTTATTAAATGCTTCCTATGTGCAGAGCATGGTTTTTGTCCTTAAAGGGAGAGACAGCTCCTACCCTCAAGGGATTTCTAGCCTATTTGGGGAGCCAAGTAAAATTACATTACTGTTCTCTGTGACAAAGCTTTAGGTAAGTAAAGGCAGGTGGCCTTCGGGAGCACTGGGTTTGATCTGATTTTATCAGAATATCTATAACAATCTTCCGCTGTTTCTTATTCTTTGATTCTTTCTGTAAGGAAAGAACCTGATTTTATGCAGCTTGCAAACAAACTACTTTTTGCACTCCGTTTTTGCTGTTAGATAATAGTTATTTTTGACCTCCCATCTACCTCCTACTTAAAACATTCTTGCCAGAAATACATACCTCAGTGCTTATATAACCTCCACCAAAGCTTCCAGGAACTTAGAAGTGAGGGGGAAGATGCTGTAATAAGACTTTTTTCCCCTACTATTTTCAACATCTTCCTTATTTTTAGGATACTTCCTGGTTTATTGAAGAATATTTTGGCATCCACTCTTTTTATATTGGGCAGATTAGAAATATTTCTCACAATGTTTTAATTTTATCAGAACTGAAACAGTCAAGTTTGATGTCCTATGGAGTTTAACAGATAATTTTTTTGATTCCTTTGACAAAGAAGGAGTAAAAAAAATATCAAGAAAACTTGTTAATATCAGAGATTTACTTTCTTAGAAAAAGAAGTTTATAGTGAACATCATGGATTTGAACAGTCATATTTATAAGTTCATTTTAAAACCTCATCTTGTTTCCTTTATACACTATCAGCGTATAGTTAGAAATATAGGACTTGGGTGAAAGAGTATTGTTTAGTGTTCAACTCAAAATAGAATAGGCTTTCACTTGAAGGCTTATAAAACGTTTGAGAATTGGATGAGAATTGTTTTTTGGTCAATTGGTATCACAGCATATAACCACAGCATGTTTGATTATTTTACCCACTGACTGTAATTTTAAGTGTTGACCTAAAAACTGTACATAGACAAGGAGAATTTGTTAGCAATTTAGGTACTGATTATTTTAAGGATCATCAATTTTTCTAATCTGAGATAACTTGGGAATATACTCAGGTTATTGGACATTGATTGTCATTTGTAGAAGTCACAAGGATTTTCTCCTCTTCTGATCTAGTAAATCTTTAGCTTGTTAATTTGGTTTTAGCATATTAAGTTCACTTAAGCCCTTGTGCTCGGTTTTAATTTTGCAATGCTATTTTGGCTATAGTAAGCAACCATGTTTATTCTCTGTACAAGTCATACAAATATTTACTCAAGAGCTGCTACGTTCACGTATTCAAATTAGCAAACAGATTCAAATACAGAATTTAGACAATGTCTCCAAAAGCAAGCTCAATCTTGTATAACAGAGGCTTCCATCCTTTACAAATATGAGAGTCCCCTTACGTCCAAAGCTCTCAAGGCCTTTCCTCATGACAGTGGTATTTTTCATATCTATTGATTGTCAAAATATAATTGCCAAAAGGCCACTATGCATTTAGTCACACTTTTTTTTTTTTT